TCATATATTTGGGGGGGGGGGGGGGGGGACTTATAATAGTAAGATGGATGTTTAACATACTTTGGAGGTAAAGGAGGAGACTTGTAGTAATACGGAGGGTGTTTCACATGTTTGGTTAGTGGAGGAAGAGACTTGTAATAGTATGATGGATGCTTAACATGCTTTAGAGGCGAAGGAGGAGAACTGTAATAATACGGAGCGTGTTTCACATATTTTGGTGGTGGTGGAGGAGACTTGTAATAGTAAGGCGAATGTTTAACATGTTTTAGAGGCGGAGGAGGAGATTTGTAGTAATACGGAGGATGTTTCACATACATTGGTGGTGGTGGAGATTTGTAGTGATATAGAGGGTGTTTCATATATTTCGATGGTGGTGGTGGAGACTTATAATAATAATGCTTTAATGACGGCAAATTTAGTAACAACGGTGATACATAACTACTGTATGATTCATAAACAACTGTGAGAGTCATTGTTAGAGAAAAGACAATTACATAAACCAGCCAAGGCCATTGCCTTGGCTGTCCTAGAGAAAATCTCATTCAAACACGTGAGCTCAGATATTCTTTATTAAATGACTTAAAGTTATCGAGATCTTTCTCTCTATATTTTTTTTCGTGATTTGAATTATGAACTTACTTATCTTTTTATAGGAGTTCCTGAATTAATCATAACATATCTTACATTTGTTTAATCCACATTATAGCTTGGTTGATGTACTTTTTTTTTACTTATAGATTAATATATACATATACATATATATATTATTTTTAACTTGAATCATATAATTTGAGGACTCTCACTAAGAGTAGATACATATGAATAACAAAGTCGATCTGTTATATATTATAAGGTAGTAGTTGTATATATATAGGTGAAGATATAATTTTTATTCTAAGTCGTCAGAAGACAAACAATATCTTTGAAGAGAAGGAAGGTGAGTGGGAGAATCATATCGTGCACACAAAGTTAAAAATCGAAAAACTTTTTTTTTTTTTTTTTATAAACTAAATATATATATATATATATATAAATTTTCTTCAAACCAATCACATATGAACTTTACTTTATCAACTTAATTAAGCCTTATGCACTTACTGAATTGTAAATTAATTGATATTTAATTCAATTTTGAGTTAATCGGAATACATAATTTTAATAATGTGAATTTAATTTCTTAAAATATATATGGTACTAAAAAGATTATATATTAATAAATTATTTATAGAGAAATGTTTTCGAAAAAATTCAAAATAATATATATACACACTCACATGCTATACAAAATTCAACCATGATCTAATAATATTTATATACACGTTGTGTATGTGAAGCTCGTGCTCTATAAATAATAGGCTGTGATAATTGTTTGTATTAAATTTTTAAAATATAATTTACGATTACTTTATTTTATTGAATTATTATTATACGTATTTATTAATATTCCAAGTGGAGTTCGGAAAAGCAAACCCCAAAAAAAAAAAAAAAAAAAAAGAAAGAGTGACGTCATAGATGACGCTTGCTATCTGCAAGAACACTAATAAAATAGGAATGATGGGCCGGACCAATCTTGTTTGACCAGCCCAGGTTTTTGGGCTGGGCCCAATAGTCTAGTTACTGATCTAGTCCGTGATAGGTGGGCTTGGGCCCAAGTTGGA